TAGAAACCTAAAAGAGAGCTAGAAGCAGTGGGGGTTTGCCAGTAATCCCAGTGACTCGAGAGGCTGAGACAGAGGATCCCAAATTCAAAGCCAGCCTCAGTAATTCAGCAAGGCTCCATCTCAAAATAAAAAAATAAATAAAAATAAAAAGAGCTGGGGATGTGGTTCAAGTGGTAGCACGCTCGCCTAGCATTCGTGAGGCACTGGGTTCCATTCTCAGCCCCACATAAATGTGAAGTAAAGATACTGTATGCACCTAAAACTAAAAAATAAATATTAAAAAAAAAAGAGTTGGGGATGTGGCTCAGTGGTTAAGTGCTCCTGCATTCAATCGCCAGTACCAACCACAAGAGAGAGAGAGAGAGAGAGAGAGAGAGAGAGAGAGAGAGAGAGAAAGAAAATGAAGCCTAAAGAGGAGTGATCCAGAATAACCACAAGGCTCAGTATTTATTACGTTACTTCTTCCTTAGTTACGCCTGTATTGACCTCATACAAAGACCTGGGTGAAGTTAGAAAAGGGTTAACCTATACCAGAGTTCACAGTAGTTCCTTGAATGAGAGCTCAGGGAAAGTCGCAGTTGTCAAGCAGAAGACTGCAGAGTTCTCCCGGTAGGAATCCCATTTCTAATTCTATTCCGATCTAGTTCTAGGAGCCTGATTGGGGCAATTCCTGACTTACAATTCCCAACCTAACCGCAGGTCTGTAGCTTCTTCTGGAAGCTGTTATGTAGAATTCAATATCTGATATCCCACTTGGGACCATTTCTCTGTGGCAGTCAGTCAAATGTGGCTGTTAGAGGATGCAGGAAGCGACAGGGAACCTGCAGCCTCAGGTCACAGGGTAGCTCATCAATCTCAGCAATGCACGCTCAGGTAATGGGCACGCACCCTGTGTCCCCGCCACACAAGGACAACCACGCACTGCCAGTCTCAACCACACCCACCGACACCGAGGCACGCGCGGCCCTGTCAAGAGCAGCACCGTCTCACCTTCCGGGCCACATACCCGCCGCTCCTCGCAGCTGCAGCACCCACCGCCTCGTGGGCAGGCAGACCCGCCCTGCGCGGTCTGGGCCTCCGAGCCTTGAGTGCCTCCCGCCACTAGGCTCTCGCGGGTCACGCAGGGCCTGGGGCGGCTGCGTCAGCAGAGTCTTTTTTGCAGACACCCACTCCGACTTATTTCTCAGGTGGGACGAACTCACAGCGCGCGAGGAAAGGTATCAGGAACGGAGCCAGAGGTCGCAGTTATATCCGTATCTCGTGGGAAATGTCCACACTAGGCTGTCTCGGCCTGCAGCCGCCTGTGGGAAATGGAGTCCACGGCCGAGAAAAACTGAGGACCGCGCGCCCCGCCCACCGCCAGTCCCGGCGCCTTCTGGGAGTGGCCTGCTGCATCTAGAGTGCGCACGCGCAGGTGCCCAAGTGCTGGAGGCACTGCCCTGAGAGGCGGGGACCGTCTAAGTGGTTTTCGTGGTCCGGAGGAGGCAAGTGTGGGTGGATCTGGATTGGGGTAGTCTCAGAAGGGAATTCTGCAGTTCTGTTACCAGGGCTCAACCTGATGTGTGAGGATCCACCTTGTAGTCAGTGCTGTGAACCCGAAGGTGATCTCCTGGCTTGACAGGTGCCAGTTAGTGAAGGTGGGATGCTGGAACCCTATGGCCCTGGGGTAGTACAAGCTTTTTTTTTTTTTTTTAATTTATTCTAATTTGTTATACACGATGGACAAGCTTGTTTGAATATATATGGAACAGTAACTTTTAATATCCCCGGAAAGATCTAGCTTGCCATATAAAGTGTTAGGTTGAGTTTTGAGCATAAAAGTAAAATTCCATTACATTCTTAAATAATTAACGTTTTTCATCCCTGGCAACATTAGATGATTTAATAAATTTGGTTAAAAATCATCTGAAGAAAAAACCTACATAATTTTAATATTTTGGTTTTGGAATAGGTTTTCTAAATATAAACAAGTTTTTTTTTTTAATTTAGAAACTTGAGGCGGTAATTTTTTATAAATCTTGATAGTAATCTATAAATATCCAAATTATGCCAATGTAAAAATAAAACCTTCAGATAAATGAATTGGGGAAATAGTTATAACAGTAGCATAAAATGTATGGTTAGGTAATAATCTTAATTTACTTTCACTCTGGTTTAATAATAGTGAATACCCCAAGAGGAAAAGGAGCAAAGTTTAAAAATTCACTATCAACAATATACATAGTAGGGGCTGTTGTTGTGGCTCAGTGGTAGAGCACTTGCCTAGCACTGGTGAGGCAATGGGTCAACCCTCAGCACCACATAAAAATAAATAAAGGTATTATATCCATATCCATCTAAAATATTTTTTAAAAACCAGTACACATAGTAAAAAAAATCAGTTCTTAGATCATTGCTCCAGAATCTCCTGAGTGAATCTCAGAAGTATAACAGAAGAATACATACATAGATCAGATAGATTAATGGATTAACTTAAGTCCAAGAATGAACTTTCATATATATATATAGTCAACTAATGTTAAACAAGGCAATTCAAGGAGGGAGGGAAAAAAAAAACAAACATCGCTTTCAACAGACTAGAACAACTAGATAGCCATATGGAAAAGAATGAATTTGGATCCCTACCTCTCACCGTGTACAAAATCAACCCAAAATGGATCGAAGAGTTAAAACAATAAAAATTTTGGAAACAATATAGGCATAATTCTTCTGATTCTGTAGTTAGCAATTATGTCTTAAATATGATGCAAAAGGGCTGATGTTGTAGCTTGATGGTAAAAGCACTTGCCTAGCATGCATGAGGCACTGGGTTTGATCGTACGCACCACATACAAATAAATAAAATGAAGGTACAATGTACATCTACAACTAAAAAATTAAAAACCTGCTTTTAAACAAGAAAGAAATAGTTTATTTTTAAAAATGACACAACAATCAGAAGCAACAAGAGCAAAAGAAGAAATTGAACATAATTAAATTTTAAAACTTTAGATTTCAAGGGCCCTCACTTCAAGAAAGTAAGAAGATAACACAAAAGAAAATTTTGTAAATTGTATATAGGATAAGGAATTTGTATCTAGACTAAATAAAGAATTCTTTCAATTCATCAAGAAAAAGATAACCTAAACCAGGTTCTGTAATTTATGGGAGATGATAATATCAAGATTTTTCAGGGAATAGACAAAATAATAAAGTTTTTCTTTGTACTGGGGATTGAACTAAGGGCACTCTACCACAGAACTACATCCCCAGCCCTTTTTAATTTTTATTTTGAGACAGAGTCTCTATAAGTTGTTGATATAAGTCTCTTTAAGTTGCTGGCCTTGAACTTGTGATACTCCTGCCTCTAATCTTAACTCTCCCAAATGGCTATGATTATGGGAGTGTGTGTGGCCAGAGTTTCTTTCCTCAATAAAATAGCATGCAACATCATATTGCCTGCAAGGTACCAAACTCTTGAGTGTTCAATAAATATTCTAGGTATATTCCCTTTAAGAAAAAAACGTTTAATATAGGTGTACTTTAAAGTCTTAGAAGAGCACTATTTCCTCAATATTTAGTTATTTACTTACAACTCAAAAGATCACTATTATGCCAGATTCAATAAAGCATTTTTCTTTGACAATTTTTATTGATTATATAACATATATGGATTAGATGATTCCTAAAATGCCAGTACTTTCCAAGTTGACCTGTAGACTGTTGAACTACAGACTGAATAACATCTCTTTTCCAGCAGGTATGTAGAAATGAAGAGGCTGATTAAAAATTTTATGTAGAAATTAATATAGCCAAGTATCAGCATGCATAGATAGTATTGACTTTTTTCAGTGACTCACCAGCAACAATCCCTCTAACAAAGAATGAATCTCAGTCTTATAAGGTAGAGTATCTAAATTGGGTTCTCAATCTCAACATGCGGCTCAAGGAACACTTCTTGTTTTTTGTACCAGGGATTGAATTTAGGAGCACTCGGCCACTGAGCCACATCCCCAGCCCTATTTTGTATTTTATTTAGAGACAGGGTCTCACTGAGTTGCTAAGCACCTCACCATTGCTGAGGCTGGCTTTGAACTTGGGATCCTCCTGCCTCAGCCTCCCAAGCTGCTGGGATTACAGGTGTGCAACACTGCGCCTATTAAGGAACACTTCTTATATCTGTTAATCTTAAATTTTTTATTATTATTTGCTGGCTAATCCCTCCTTATTCTAATTCTTTGTAATATAGTACTAACTACTTTTATTAATTGTTCCCTGTTAAATTACCGTAAAGTTTTTCTCTTGATGATAACACACACTGATGATTGCCTACTGAGGACTCCAATTATTATTTTTTTATTTAAAAAATTCATCAGTTGTAGATGGACACAATACTTTTATTTATTTTTATGTAGTGCTGAGGATCGAACCCAGTGCCTCACATGTGTTAGATGAGTGCTTTATAACTGAGCCACAGCCCCATCTCAGTTATTGTTGACAATTTTTATTTTTCATTTGTCATTTTTTGTTCCACTTATTTTGTTGCTGTGCTGTTAAGTACATTCAAGTTTCTAATTGTTATACATTACGGATAAATTGATCCTTGCATCATTAGAAAATGTTCCCCTTTCATTTTGAATTGAAGACTATTTTGCCTGATGTTGGTAGAGTTACTTCAGTTATCTATATAACTGCATGGTATATTCTCCAACCGTTTTCCTTCCAACTTGTCTATCTAGATCTAAAGTATATCTCTTATAAAAAAGTAGTTGGGTATTTTTTGTTTTGTGAAGCTGACAATCTCTTCTATTTATCTATCTATCTAAATATTTATTTATATGGTACTGGGGATTGAACCCAGGACATGCTAGGTAAGTGTTCAATCATTGATCCATACTCCAGCCATTTTAAAGTTTTATGACAGGGTCTCAAAATTGCCCAAGCTGGCCTGGAACTTACCTCAGCCTCCTGAGTAGTTGGGATTACAGGTGCACACTACAGCATCCAGCAGTCATTCAAGGTTGTTTTTTTTTTTTTTTTTTGGAGCGGGGGTGATGCTGGAGATCGAACCCAAGGCCTCATGCATACTAGGCAAGCACTCTACCACTGAGATATATCCCCAGCCCCTCAATCTGTTGTTGTTGTTTTTTATTATTAGTTGTTCAAAACATTACAAAGCTCTTGACATATCATATTTCATACATTTGATTCAAGCAGATTATGAACTCCCCTTTTTACCCCGTATACAGATTGCAGAATCACATCGTTTACACATCCACATTTTTACAAACTGCCATACTAGTGTATGTTGTATTCTGCTGCCTTTCCTATCCTCTACTATCCCCCCTCCCCTCCCCTCCCATCTTCTCTGTCTATCCCATCTACTGTAATTCATTTCTCTCTCGTTTTTTTCCCCTTTCCCCTCACTTCCTCTTATATGTAATTTTGTATAACAATGAGGGTCTCCTTCCTTTACCATGCAATTTCCCTTTTCTCTCCCATTCCCTCCCCACTCTGTTGTTTTTTAATATATTTTTAGTTGTCGATGGACCTTTATTTATTTTTTATTTATATGCAGTGCTGAGAATCGAACCCAGTGCCTCACACATGCTAGGCAAGTGCACAACCCCAGTCCCCTCAATCTGTTTTTGATTGGATTTTTTTGTACTAGGAATTGAACCAGGGGTGCTTTATCACCAATAAAAACCTCAGTCCTTTTTATTTTTTATTTTGAGACAGGATCTCACCAAGTTGCTTAGGGCTTCACTAAGTTGCTGAGGCTGGCCTCAAACTTGGGAACTTCCTGCATAAACTCCAAAATCACTGGGATTACAAGCATGTACAGTCACCATGCCTGCCTAAACAATCTTCGTTTTAGTAGTAACTTCCAATAAAATACAGAAGTGTGCTTCAGTGAACCCCCATTCCTTCCCCATTGTGTTACTGTCATATATATTACATCACTATTTAAGACTACTAATGTAGTTTTACAATTAATTGTGCAGTTGTCTTTTTAGTCACAGAGGAAAAAAATGTATTTTGAATGTTATCTCACTGCTTTCTGGCCTTTGTTGTTTCTGATGAAAAGTCAGCTGCCAACCTAAGTCATTTTTCTCTTGCTGATTTCAAGAATTTACTCTTGAAAATCTTGTTTGGCTTTTTATTCATCCTAGTTGAATTTCATTGAACTTCTTGGATGTACAGATTTGTTTTTCATCATATTTAGAAACCCTGAGACTTATTTCTTTAACTTTCCTACCCCTTTCAACCCTCTGCTTTAAGGCACTTCTTTTACCTGTGGATTCCAAGCATATTATATGTATGCTTGTTATGCTTGATTGTGGTTCCATGGTCTTAATTCTGTTAATTTTTCTTCTTCTTATCTTTGTTTTCTATTTGTTGGATAATTTGTATTGATTTATCATTGAGTTCAGAGATTCTTCCTTCTGCCAGTTCATTCTGTTGGTAAAGTTGAGAACTTTTCATTCAAGACATTAAACTTTTAAAAATCTAAAATTTCTACTTGGTTCTTTTTTAAAAACTAATTTCAATCTATTGATATTCTCTACTTAATGAATCATTGTTATCATAATTCCCTTTAATTTTCTTTTTTTTTTTTGATACTGGGGATTGAACTCAGGAACATGCAGCCACTGATCCACATCCCCAGCCCTATTATTATTTTTTATTTTATTTAGAGACAGGATCTCACTGAGTTTTTTAGTGTCTTGCTGTTGCTGAGGTTTGCTTTGAACTCATGATCCTCCTGTCTCAGCCTCCTGAGCCGCTGGGATTACAGGCGTGTGCCACCGTGCCCAGCATAATTCCCTTTAATTTTCTAAATATGGTTTCATTTCAATCTTTGAACGTACATGTAATAGTCAATTTAAAGTTTTGCTGTGTTCGATGCCCTAGCCTCCTCAAGGACAATTTCAATAGACTTTTCCCCAAGCATGATCACATTTTCCCTTTTCTTAGCAATTCTTATTTTTTTCATTGTTGTTAAAAACTAGATGTTTTAGGGCTGAGGTTGTAGCTCAGTGGTAGAGTGCTTGCCTAGCACAGGTGAGGCACTGGATTTGAGCCTTAGTACCACATTAAAAAATAAATATATAAATAAAAAATAAAGATTAAATTCTTTTAAAAAGCTGGATATTTTAGATATACTACTATAGTAACTCTGGATTTTGATCTTCCCTTTCCCAAGAGTTGCTATTCTTGTGCTTATATTTTGGTGTATTTTCTTTCTTTTTTAAAAAAAACATTTTTTAGTTGTAGATAATATTTTTATGTGATGCTGAGGATCGAACCCAGTGCCTCACGAGCGCAAAGCAAGCACTCTACCACTGAGCTACAACCCCAGCCTTTCATCAACCCTTCATCATCATATAAAATATTATAATTTTTTATACCCTATTAATTATGAGAGTCAATTTTTTCCTCATTATGTATCAATATTTTCCTGGTTCTTTGCATGTCTTCTCACTTATTTTGCTACCAGGGATTGAACCCAGGAGTGCTTAACCATTGAGCCACTTTCCTACCCCTTTTTATGAGACAGTGTCTCACTAAGTTGCTTAGGGCCTTGTTAAGGCTGGATTTGAACTCGGGACCCTCCTGCCTCCCAAGCTGCTGGGATTAGAGGATGATGCCCGGTGTCTTCTTGTCTTTGGTTGGATGCTAAATATATTATTCTAATATATTTTTAAATATTTTTGAGCTTTGTTCTGAAATATTTAATTCAGTTATTTGGGAACAGTTTGATTCTTTCAAAGGGCATTTGTTTTGGGGTGTTGGTGGGGATTGAACCCAGGGCCTTATGCATGCCAAGCAGATGCTCTACTTCTGAGCTGCACCCCAGTCCCTTAAGGATCACTGTAAGCTTTGATAGGCAAGATCAGAACAGCCCTTAGTTCTATGTGAATTTTTCCTAATAAGGCAATATCCTTCTGAGTAACCCATGTCTTATGAATTATGAGGTTTTTCCTATTCTGATAACACCAACTATTACTGGATCTATAGGAGCTACGAGGATTATTCCCTATACTCACTACAAGTGTTTCTTTCCATAGCTTTGGGTGTTTTCTACATACATATGAACTGCTCAGTTCTTAGCTAAAGATTCTAGGTAATTCCCTGACAGCTCTACAGGAGGTCTTTCCTGTCTGTGCTCTCTTCTGCATACTTTGGCATCCCCAAACTCCAGTGATTGTGTCTCAATTCTGGAAGAGGACTGGCTTCTGCTTACATTAACTACCCCTGGAATATGGACTGGAAACTCTCCATGTATTATGTTGGGAGAAATAATAGTGCTCATCTTGATTTCTGCAATGGGGATGAGGGTTTTAAACTGCTTGCTTTCTAGTGTCTGAAAAGTGTCATTTATTGAATTGTTTAAGATAGGATAGTATTATCCTGGCCCTGATATTGTATCCTAGGAGGAAGCAACAATCTAAAAATGTATCTTAATATTTCTCAGTAACGTTTATAAGAATACATAAAGGAAAAACATTTGGCGTTTTAAGCCATAATATCAAGACCAAGTTCCTAATATTAAAAAATGTGGTTGATGGGCTGGGGATGTGGCTCAAGCGGTAGCGCGCTCGCCTGGCATGAGTGCGGCCCGGGTTTGATCCTCAGCACCACATACAAAAAAAAAAAAAACAAAGATGTTGTGTCCGCCGAAAACTAAAAAATAAATACAATTCTCTCTCTCTCTCTCTCTAAAAAAAAAAAGAAAAGAAATTATATCCTTCCTGATGTTTTAGCTGAGGAATGATCAGACTATGCATTTATGCATTTCCATAACAAAGATCTTATTTTCAATTGTCTTTTTTTTGGGGGGGAGGGAGATTGCCAGAAATTGAACTCAGCGTACTCAACCACTGAGCCTCTTCCCCAGCCCTATTTTGTGTTTTATTTTGAGACAGGGTCTCACAGAGTTGCTTAGTGCCTCACCATTGCTGAGGCTGGCTTTGAATTCACAATCCTCCTGTCTCAGGCTCCCTAGCAGCTAGGATTACAGGTGTGTGCCTCTGTGCCTAGCTCAATTGTCTTTTTAAAATTCATATTTCCTACAATATCCATGGTTATGTTTGTTAAACTACATTATTTTACAAATATAATTCCTCAAAAATATATTAAAGGGGGCTGGGGTTGTGACTCAGCGGTAGAGTGCTCACCTAGCACAGGCAAGGCCCTGGGTTCGATCCCCAACACCATATAAAAATAAATAAATAAAGACATTGTGGTCCAACTACACAACTAACAAATATTAAAAAATATATATTAAATATTTCTAAATATTTTTGTTAACTTTTAACTTAAAAATTTCCTTCATTTCTTCAAGCCTTTTCCTGATTATATCTACTTATTTAGTTCATATTCCACAGGAAGAGGAGGTAGTGGGATTTGAATAAAAAGCTATAGTTTTGTGTGTATGTTTGTGTATGTGTATGCAGTACTCATAATTGAACCCAGGATTTTGCCCTGAGCTACACCCCCCCACCCCAAAACTATAGTTTTATTTCATAATCATTAGTCTTTATATTTAGTTTTATTAATATTTTCTTAATTATTATAGTTTTTCTTTCTGCTAATTGCATAAATTAACTATTTCTTTCCACAGCGTTTATTGTGTAGTATCTAACAGTCATTTTAGATATGTCATAGATACAGAGATGAATAAAATAAAAATAAATGAATAAATTTTCATTTATTCCTGATTTCTAATGCACTAAAGGGATTGTATTCAATGAAAAATTGAGAGTTGCCACTTAAATAATATTTTACAATGCAGAATTAATAATCATGTAAAAACCTTCCATGTGCTTTCAGCAATATGCACCATCATTCATAGTCTGTCTAAAAACCTAAACCTAATCTCAACCTAATTAATTCTCTAGACCTAAGTTCTAATTATAGGGAAAATGAGGGACCGAACAACAGGTAACATATCATGAATGAGTGATATACTTTGAGATTAAAAAAAAAATCATAAGCATAAAAAGTGGAGTGTAATACCTTAGAAAAGAGAGAATAATTTTTTAAAATACAGTAAGTTAACCTAGAGTGGATTCTGATTAGAAAATAAATAGCTATAAAAACATCACTGGATGAATAGCTTTCAAGAATGTTTTTCTATTGTGACTATCAGGAAAAGTGCATGTATTTAAGGGTGAAATGTCATAATATCTTCAACTTATTCTCAAATGCTACAGAAACAATTCATCAATAATCAGATATAAAAAGTTAAAAGAAACAGATACAGCAAATAACATGAATGTAAACATGAGTTGCTGAATATTTCTTTCAAATTTTCTATATATCAAATAAAAATACAATTACAAATTTAGGAAAGGTCTCCAAGAAGACAATTTACTCCTTGCTATCCCATTACTATATCTTAAATGGTGAACACAGAATATAAATTGTTGGCTATTAATCAAATCATTATACACTCTAAATCATATACTTTTATTTCCAAAATTTTGTAAAATTTAATGGATGAGAGTCTTTGAGAATGTGTTCTAATTACACAACTAGACTCTTTACATAATAACTAATCAGCAATACAATCTGATAATAACTCATATTTACTGAGTATAAGTCCATATGCCCACATAATCTTCCAAGGTATGTGTACCACTTTCATCCCATAATAGGGCTATCATGTAGGTTCTTGAGTAGCATTTTATAAATGATGTCTGTAGATGATAATTATTTTGACAATGACAAATGGAGGTAAGGTGGGAGAATAGCACTGATAAGGCATGCATTATATGATATTACTGCCTATGTGACATTAACAAATTCATTCATAAGTTTTAAGAGTTTATAAATGAGTACTGGAAGGTGTAATGATTTAAAAATATGTCTGCAAGCCAGGCATGGTGGCACACCCATGTAATCCCAGTGACTTGAGAGGCTGAGGCAGGAGGATCACAAGTTGGAGGCCAGCCTCAGCAATTTAGTGAGGCCCTAAGCTACTTAGCAAGACTCTGTCTCAAAATAAAAATTTAAAGGGGCTGGGAATGTAGCTCAGTGGCAGAGCACCCTTGTGTTCATTCCCCAGTATCATAAACTCCCCAAACACAAAAAATGTCTGTGAATATTTTGACCTTCTTCTCTTTTAAAGGTGAAACTGAAGAAAAGAGACCAGTGGGTAAAAAGGGATAAGGGGAGAGGAAAGGGAGGAGCGGAGGTAAAGGAGTGGTTCTGAAGAATGAAACTGATCAAATTATGTTATGTATATGTACCAATATATCACAATGGAACTCACCATTCTGTATAATTAATATATACCATTTAAAAAATGTAGAACTGAATTCCTCTTGAGTATAGGCTAGATTTATTGTCATGCTGCTTACAAACAGAATACGGCGGAGGTGACTTCCAAACCAAGAATATTAAAAAGATCATTTCTGAGCATAGCCAACTGTCATGTCACAGGTACACTTAAGAACCATAAGGAGAGCTAGGTGTGGTGGGACATGTCTGTAATTCCAGCAGCTCAGAGACTGAGGCAGGAGGATCACAAGTTCAAAGCCAGCCTCAGCAATTTAGCAAGGCCCTAAGCAATTTAGTGAGACCCTGTCTCAAAAAAAAAAAAAAGGGGGGGGGCTGGGGATGTCACTCAGTGGTAGAGTACTCCTGGGATCAATCCTCAGTACCAAAAAAAGGAAGAAGGAAGCATAAGGAGAGGCCCCATTAGAGAGGAAACAAATTGCCCCTGAAAACTTATCAGTCACATAACTAAGCTGTCTTTGAAAGCACATTCTCCAGCCTCTGTCAAGTGTTTAGATAACTGCAACCTCTGGAGACACAGGATCTAAACTGCCCAACTTAGTTGCTCCCAAATTCCTGACTCACAGAAACTGTGAGAAAAATACATACTTATTGGCAGTTTGGCTACTAATTTTTAGGGAGCTTTGGAATGTTAGCATGATATTATCCGATTTTGGTACCTTGTCAGGGATACTATTGAAAGCCAAAAGTGTCTTGAAGATAAAGATAACTTTTACTAGGAACCTGGAGAGTTCTGAGGAGGCAATAAGTGAGGACTTATGGAAAACCGAACACTGTTACTAGAGACAACAACTCATTTTTAAGAGTTTATAAATGATTGAGTATTGGAAGGTGTAATGATTTAAAAATAAGTCTGCAAGCCAGGCATGGTGGCACACCATGTTATGCACTAGTAGCAGAAAACCTAGCAAACTCGTTGCATGTGATAACATGAACAGTAGAAAATAATACCTCATGAACTTGGGTAATTTAGCCAAGTAAGCTTCCAAGAGACATGCTGAAGATGCCACCTAGGTTCTTGTTGCTTAAAAGAAAGTATAAGAATTGAGATAAGCTAGGGGCTGAGGTTGTGGTTCACAGGTAGAGCGCTTGCCTAGCACATGCGAGGCTCTGGGTTTAATCCTCACCACCACATAAAAATAAATAAATAAAATAAAGGTATTATGTCCAACTACAACTAAAAAATATTTTTAAAAAATAATTGAGATAAGCTAAAGAACAACTAAACAGAAGTGGACCGGGGGCTGCAGTTGTGACTCAGTGGTAGAGCACTTGCCTAGCATGTGAGGCACTGGGTTCCATCCTCAGCACTGCATAAAAATAAAGGTATTATGTCCATTTAAAATTAAGGAATTTAAAAAGAATGCCATCCGACAATGATGGACCAGGACTTGGCACTCTGTATACAATAATTTACATTTGCATAATTTGCTCAAGAAGCTCCCCAATTCTTATTCATTTTACAGCATCATTCTCAGTCCAGAATTTCCTCAAAGATGAGGATGGCTTTTTCCTAGCACTCTCACTGTTCAAATAGATTAGTCAGTTTTTCATTACTATAATGAAATACCTGAGGCAAGTTAGCTTTATAAAGAAAAGAGGTTTATTTACCTCATAGTTTTGGTGGTTCAAGGCATTGCACTGGCATTGGCTTAGCTCTTGTGAGGCTCTCATGGCCAAATCCTTAGAATGGTGGTACACGTAGGAAGAAGAAGAGATCACATCACACTGCCAAGCAAGAAGCCCAGGAGCAGCTAAGGTTATATAGTCCCTGGAGTTTCACAGCCACTTCTGAGAGGACACCTTCAACTGACATAAGGACCCCCCACTGGGCCCTACCTCTTTAAGGTAGCACTAGCAAACTGGAGACCAAGCTTCTAACACATAAGCCTTTGGGGGACACTTACTTCAAACCATATCCAAACCATATAGAATGTAAGAAAGTAACCAGTGTGACTCCTGGGGAACAGGAGCCTGACCCACAGTCAAGCCTTCAGATGATTCATCTCATGAAAACCTCAATGCTCCTGAATTTCTGGCCCATAAAACCTGTGAGAAATATTTATTATTGTGTTAAGACATTAAAATTTGGGGTAATTTGTAACAACCATTAATGTCCAGTAGAGAAGGCTCCCTTTAGTATAAAATTCCATGCCATGGACGTTGAAGGCATATAGACATGAAGAAATTGGGAATTCTATTTTGTTTTAAATTTGCCAAGAATCAGATATTTCATTAAAACAGAACTGATACTGAAAGCTTTCTAATGTGTCAAGAACTGTATTATGAAGTCTCATTTGCTAAATACATACCTATAAAACTAATATTTAATCATTTCTTACCAAAGTGATTTGTCCATGCCTATTCTTTGACTTTCACACCTGTATGAATTCCTTGATGTGATTTAAGGGCTGAACCATATCTAAAGGTATTCCCACACTGTTGGCACACATAGGGTTTCTCACCGGTATGAATTCTCTCATGTTGAACAAGGTTTGAAGAACGACTAAAGGCCTTACCACACTTCTTACATTCATAAGGTTTTCTACCAGTGTGAATTTTCTGATGTTGTGTAAGGTACCCACACATTTTAAAAGCTTTTCCACATTCTTTACATTCATAGGGCTTTTTATCAGCATGAATACTCTGATGTGCAGTAAGGTGTGAACTACGTCTAAAGGTCTTTCCACATTCTTTACATTCAAAAGGCTTCTCGTCAGTATGAATACTCTGATGTAGAGTAAGATTTCTACAGAAAGTAAAGGTTTTCCTGCATATCTTACACTCATAGGGTTTCACACCAGTATGGATTTTCTGATGTTGATTAAGATATCCATGCAAGCTGAAGGTCTTTCCACATTCCTTACACTCATAGGGCTTCTCACCAGTGTGGGTTTTCTGATGTTGCACAAGGTTTGAGCGAGTACTGTAGACCCTCCCACACTCCTGACAAACAAAAAGTTTCTTCCCAGAATGAATATTCTGATGCCGGGTAAGATTTCTATATAAGGTAAAGGTTTTCTTACACTCCTTACATTCAAAGCGTTTCATACCAACATGAATTTTCTGATGTTGATTAAGGTATCCATACAAGCTAAAGGCCTTCCCACACTCCTTACATTCATAAGGTTTCTCACCAGTATGAGTTTTCTGATGTTGAAAAAGTTTTGAGCCAGTAGTATAGGCCTTTCCACATTGCCCACATTCAAACAGTTTCTCACCAGTGTGAATATTCTGATGTCGAGTAAGATTCCTATACAAGGTAAAAGTCTTTTTACACTCCTTGCATTCATATAGTTTCCCACCTTTATGAATTCTCTGATGTAGAACAAGGTATGAGGCAGTGGTATAGCCCTTCCCACATTCTTTACACTCATACGGCTTTTTGCCAGTATGAACACTCTGATGTACAATAAGCTGATGACTTCTTCTAAAAGCCTTTCCACATTTCTCACACACATATGGTTTCTTGTTAGTATGAATTTGTCTATGTTCAACAAGATTTGAGCACCTACTAAAAGCCTTCCCACATTCCTTACATTTATAGGGTTTTTCACCAGTATGAATTCTCTGATGAATTTTTAGGTGTCCACCTTGACTAAAGGCCTTCCCGCATTGCTGACACTCATAAGGCTTTCCACCGGTGTGAATTCTCTCGTGTTGGGCAATGTGTGAGGAATAAATAAAAGCCTTCCCACATTCCCTACATTCGTATGTTTTCTCACCAGTATGAAATCTCTGATGTACAGTAAGTTGATAACCACTTTTAAAGTTTTTCTCACAGTATACACATTCATAAGGTTTCTCACCAGTATGAAATCTTTGATGGAGAATAAGTTGATAGCTGCTGCGGAAGTTCTTCCCACACTCTTTGCATTCATAGGGTCTCTCAACATGAAACCTATGATGTAGAATTAATTGGCAGCTACTCCTAAATTTTTTCCGGCATTTCTTACATTCATAGAGTTTCTCTCTGCTATATATGCTCTGATGTTGTGTAGAAGATACATCTTTCTCATAAGTGGGCATTTCTAGATAGCTGATTATCTCACATTGTAAACCCCAATCTGAAATAAGAAAACAAAAAATATTTGTATTTCTGTATCAGATGACATAAAACATGTATAAAAGAAATAAGCAACATTCCTAGTAAGTGAATGGCTTACAAAAAAATCTAAAAACACAATCAATGAAGTGTGAAGAAGGCCAAAAAGAATTCAGAGATGTATGGGACTGAATATCAGATAATGAAGTTACTGATCAAGGAAACAGGTAATGTTAGGGTGTGGGTCAGAATTTGTGACAGACTTGTTATAAATCTGCTATCTTGGCACTATTAGAGACCAAATGAATTATAATTCAGAAGAGGAAAAACTTCAGCATCTTTATTTAGAATCTATCATTAATTTAGATTCAATATTTAAGAATTCATCCTTTTAAGTTTTTTAATTTTTTTTGAGAGAGAGAGAGAGAGAGAAATTTTTTTTAATATTTATTTTCTAGTTATCGGCGGACCCAACATCTTTGTTTGTATGTGGTGCTGAGGATCGAATCCAGGCCACATGCATGCCAGGCGAGCACGCTACCGCTTGAGCCACATCCCCAGCCCCATCCTTCTAAGTTTCTTTAGTGATTTCTTTTATTCTTAGAATAAAATTCACACAGTAGCCTCAAATAAAATAAAATACCTGGAAATGAATCTAACAAAAGAGGTGAAAGACCTCTACAATGAAAACTATAGAACATTGAAGAAAACCTCAGAAGATGGAAAGATCTCCCATCTCCTGGAGAAAGGCAGAATTAATACTGTCAAAATGATCATACTACCAAAAGCATTATACAGATTTAATGCAATTCCTATTAAAATCCCAATGACATTCTTCATAGAAATATTTGAAAAAAATAAGAGCCAAGAATAGCCAAAGCAATCTTTAGCAAGAAAAGTGAAGCAGCAGGCATCACAATACCAGACCTTAAACTATACTACACAGCTATAGTACCCAAAACAGCATGGTATTGACACCAAAATAGACTTGTAGACCAATGGTACAGAACAGGGGACACAGAGACAAACCCACATAAATGTGGTTATCTCATACTAGACAAAAGTGCCAAAAACATTTGCTGGAGAAAAGATAGCCTATTCAACAAATGGTGCTGGCAAAACTGGAAATTCAGGGGCTGGGGATGTGGCTCAAGCGATAACATGCTCGCCTGGCATGCGCGGGGAACTGGGTTCGATCCTCAGTACCACATACAAATAAAATAAAGATATTGTGTCCATGGAAAACTAATATTAAAAAATTATTTCTCTCTCACTCTCTCTCAAAAAAAAAAAAAACCTGGAAATTCATATGTAGCAAAATGAAATTAAACCTTTATTTCTCACCCTGCACAAAAATCAACTCAAAGTAGATTAAAGACCTAAGCACTAGAACAGAGACCCCGAGCTTAATAGAAGAAAAAGTAGGCCCAAATCTTTATCATGTCGGCCTAGAATATGAATTCCTTAACAAGACCCCAAAAGCACAAGAAGTAAAATCAAGGATCAATAAATGGGATGAATTCAAATTAAAAAGCAGCTTCTCAGCAAGGAAACAATAATGTGAGGAGAGAGCCTACAGATTAGGAGAAAATCTTTACCATATGCACCTCTGATAAAGCATTGATCTCTAGGATATATAAAGAACTCAAATGACTTAACAAAAAACCAAATAACTCAATCAATAAATGGGCTAAGGAAGGGAACAGATACTTCACAGAAGAAATACAATTGATCAACAAATATATGAAAAAGTGTTCAACATCTCTAGCAATTAGAGAAATGCAAATCAAAACTACACTAAGATTTCATCTCCAGTCAGAATGGCAATCATCAAGAATACAGGCAACAATAAATGTTGGTGAGAAGAGAAAAACTTCAGTATCTTTATTTATAAAAAGGTACACTCATACAAAATTGCTGGTGGGAGTACAAATTAATACAACTACTATGGAAAGCAGTATGGAGATTCCTCATAAAACCTGGAATGGAACCACCATTTGACCCAGCTATCCCACTCCTTAGTGTATACCCAAAGGACTTAACATACTACAGTAATGCAGCCATGTCAATGGTTATAGCAGCTCAATTCACAACAGCTTAACTATGGAACCAACCTAGGTGTCCTTGAATGGATGAATGGATAAAGAAAATGTGATATATATTCAATGGATATTACTCAGCTTTAAAGAAGAATGAAATTATGGCATTTGCCAATAAATGGACGGAGCTGGAGAATATCATGCTAAGTGAAATAAGCCAATCCTAAAAAGCCACAGGCCAATTGTTTTCTCTAATATGTAGACGTTAATTCACAATAAGGTGGGGGACACTAGAGAAGAAGAGTGTTACCTTAGATTAGGTAGAGGGAAGTGAAGGGAGGAAAGGGGAAGGGAAGTGGGGATAGGAAAAATAGTAGAATGAAACTGAGATTATTACTTTATGTATATATGTGACTGCATGACCAATGTGATTCTACACATTTTCTACACATTGATTCTACACATTTTCTAAATGTGAGAAATTATATCTCATCTATGTATGATATATAAAGTGCATAAATGCATTCTACTGTCATATATAACTAATTAAAACAAATTTTAAAATTTTTTAAAAATAAAAAAAGAACAAAAATGAAAAAAAAATCAAATCCCTCCCTTTCCAAGCAGGTCAGCAGGACTCCTGATACCTATGAGGCCATGTGTCAAAACAGCAACCTGTTTGTTCCCTATATTCTACCACATTCCCTCTTTTTGTCACTTAGAAAACAGTACAAATTTCCTCATTATTAATGCTTTCTATGGATGGTTTAATCTTCCAAGATTCCTTGACACTTTGTAGATTGGATTTTTCTCATTCTTTAGGTCCAAGGATAAATGTTCTTTTTTTAGAAAGGCTGTACCTCCTAACTCTAAGTATGTCTCTTTGTTTTCAATTATTATATCATTTTCTGATTTGTATTCTCCTTATTTACACTTCCCTAAACTTCCTAAAGAGCAGACACTATCCCTCATTGTTTTATCACTTAATTACCAGGTCCTGGCATATCCAAAGTGTTAAATAACTTATTATACTTACTTCAACTAAGTTGTATTGTGCCACATCCACTCTATATATGCTAAATCTGTGTTGTTTCATATCCTTACCTGCGTCCTTATGTCCCTTCTCTTACTGTCCAGATTGGCCATTCTGTACTTCCCAGATAAACATTCTGATAATTTTCATCAGACAATTCAGACATATACTTGGATGAAAATTATAAGGCATTCTTTCCATTTGTAAATGCTGGCAAGAATAAATAATAATATAGAGGAAAGTTCTAGGGTACCAGATGCCTAGAACTGCATTAAAAAAGGATATATTAAATATACACTGAAGGATGGCAATCCAGATTAGATGCAGGAAAGACTGAGCAAAATCCATACAGAATAAAAAGAGTACGGTCAAAGGCAATAAGGATTTTTCAGTGATTCAACTGTGTAAAAACAAGAGAAACAAACATTTCCTAACCTTAAAAAAAAAAAAAAAAACCTGAATATCAGCAATATCAAAAAACAAAGAGGAGCACTCAATCTAAAAATATTTTCTAACTAAATGCTACGTTGGTAAGTACCATGGACATCAGAGAAGCAGGATGGATGCTCACAAAAAAAAAATGTAACTTGGTTGTCAAGACTGAAGATGCCACATGCATACACCAAGAATATGTGAAAAGGTTTACTACATGCATAATCAGGTTTTCTAGAGAGGGCAAGGTAGTTTCCAAGAAGTTGAAAAATAATTGAGACTGGTATGGAGTTTTTATTGATGCTTAGGGTATGGAGCTCCTACAGGTGAGAGGGGGCTTGCATGGTTTGGAACTGCCTCCTGGAATCAAAGAAGAGAGCACCTAGGTTTTTAATCAGATGATCCATAAAAAAGAAAAAGGGGTTAAAAAAAAGAGGAACAGGTCTTGAAAGTTATCAGCATTCAAAAATCAAAGAGTCAGATTCTTGGGGCTGAGGCTGTAATCAGTGGTGGAGTGCTTGCCTCTCGTGTGAGGCACTAGGTTCAATCCTCAGAAACACATAAAAATAAATAAATAAAATAAAGTTACAAAAAAAAGTCAGATTCTTTGTTATACTACTGAAATACTGAAACGAGAGAAATACAGACAGGTAAAAAGAAAACCAATTCAAAAAGTACATTAATCAACTACAATGCTTAGAGAAAAAGCTGTTACCTCAACATAATTAAATAAACAATTGATGAAAAAAATCTAGAAAAACCAACAAAGTAAACTAAACAAAAGTAGAAGGAATAGAGATAAATCAGTATGTAATGAATTCTGGAAAAGAATAAAACCAATTCAAATAAAAAAATAACCTTTAAAAGAAAAATAACTGCAATCTAAACATAGTGAAAAAGGAGAGAGGGAAAAAATTTTTAAATTACACTTAAAATTTTGATTAACATTGACATCTCAATAATGTCTACGTGTAAAGAATAAGCCTAAAAACAGAAAGAAAGAAAGAGAGAGAGAGAGAAAGAAAGAGTGAGTGAGTTATGGGGCAAGGCAAGTAGTTCCATGGTATGGTATGTTCTTAGCATATGCTGAGCTTTGGGTTCAATTCTTTCTTTTTTTAATTTTTTTTTTTAGTTATAATTGGACACAATATCGTTACTTTTTTTTTTTTTATGTGGGGCTGAGGATGAAACCCATAGCTTCACACATGCTAGGCGAGCACTCTATTGTGAGCCATAATCCCAGCCCCTTTGGGTTCAATTTCTAACTCTCCTCCCACAAAAAGAAGACTTATAAAATTGCTCACAAACATATTAGTATGCAAGTAAATTTGAAAATACAGGTGATATTAATAATCTTCTAGAAAAGTATTTGATCAAAACTGACCCTATAAGAAGTTAAAAAGCAGCCTAGTGCAGTGATGCACACCTGTAACCCCAGCTGCTTGGGAGGCTGAGGCAGTAGGATTACAAATTCAAGGTCAGCCTGGGCAATTTATTTAGCAAGACCCTATCTCAAAA